TGAGACTAACGCGGAGCTAAATCTGAAATCAAAACTGTTGAAATTCTAGTCGATTCCTACTCCAGTGCGTGCCGAAGGTCTTGAGTTGTTGACCATGTCTGTAAAGCTTTGGTTCCAGGTGTAAGCTGCTGAAATCGGCATTTTCAGATGGGTCGCTGACATTGCACCTCTCCACATGGTCCGAATAACAGAAATTCGAGATTTCATTGGTATACAGTCTCTGATTCTTCAGATTTGGAAGTCACAGCTGCGATGGTCTGGGCATATGTTTTGCGAACGCCTGTAGAACGATGACCAAGCAGCTATTTTTTTACCATCCAATCAAGATTAGTATGTCGCAAATATACGGCACGAATCTGCGCTAGAGTTTGCTTGTCTTCTGTTGAAGCTCAGATGTTGGCGGAATATCGGGATCATTGGAAGCACTATCTGACGCTTCTGCCTCCGCGATCGGAAAGGAGATGCAATTATGGAATATGAAGATGATGACGATTTCCAAACATTCTGTTTAGACGGTTCATGATGCACAAGGCTCCCATCGTTTTATCGAATGCTGGGCCGCATCTAAACACGTCGGACATGTAGTAATTTCGGGACACAGTAGCTTTTTTGGAATATCATGGCTTCATTTGTTTATATCGTTATATATAATGAAACTGGCATTTTCGACTGTTCTTTGTGTGTCCATCTCAATGATACTGCATTATTGCACTGCAACTTGACGCTTATGTTACGCAAAATTCATGCAATTGAAATGCTTAATATGCAATCGTTTCTGGAGACACTGAAAACCTGTTAATTTTTATAGAAAGCTCATAGAATAAAAACAGTCTGTTAATAGAGGAGTATTTTTGATTGGGTGCTGATGATCAAGCGTGACAAATGACGGATGATGGTGAGCAGTATAGAAGAGATGAAGAGTTCACAGTACATTGAATATTTAGCTGCCACGTACGTACGTAAATATTAATTGCAAGGGCGTTAAAATGAAACATTACGGCACTCATCCCGCTAAGATGAAGCCCCACCAGAGCATCAAGCCAATTTTGTTACTAACAAGTTATGGACTTGCTTCTGGAGTTATTGACGCAGGGCAGCCTCAGATATACCTTGTTCATAGTGATTAATAACTAAGAGAAGTTGTTTCCGTCTTCATGGATTAACCTCTGGTCCCTCGGAGTTTGAAGCCAGCATCCTACTACTGCGTCACAGTTTTAGCGTTTGATTTCCACAGACCTGCATAAAAGTAATATTTTATTGAACGTAATGAAGTGCTTTTGGCGAATGTGCTTGTGAGGTGAACCTTTTTAGCAAATAAAACATTTGCATTCAATTAATAAACAGATCTCTGCAGAATTAATATCTCTGCGATCGGGAAAATTTCATTCCGTACATTTTATGGAAGATTATTGCCAATGTCAATACTGACTTTCTTGTGAAATATAATACACTTAAGCAATGCACATAATTACCTTGTACAGTTTAAAAACAGGTTAAGGAAAACAATAATGCAATGATAAAATATACTCACAATGAATGAACAACATTTATTGAAACTGAAAAGACATGAGTCCCGAATTAACAAAGACAAAATCAACATCAACTGAAGTATAAAATTATAAGGCATCAACAGCTTAAAGAAAGCCACTGAATGACATGAGCAGTGAGTGAATAATTTCAGAACAGAAAGAAAGTCAGAGTACGACTTCTGCAGAATGATAAGACTATTTCGTACTGTTATGCGGCATTTCCACGATTCGATTGTGATTTTGGGGGTACCGTTTATGGAGTTCCTGCATGAACTCTATCTTGAGTGCATTCATGCAGCGACGATACTGTTGGCTCCCACGGTACATTGTGTTTTCGCTACTGATTAAATGGGGCGAGTGTACAATGAACACGTGCGGCAAGACGATGAATTCGTACCTAGAAATATAGGCATCGAAAACTATTAAGAGCATCGGCCAAAGAGTTAACAGAATACCCGATGAAGTGCAATTTCATAATGTGAGACATTTTGTTCCACCCGTATCCAACGAATCTCGTATCATAGCGCACAACATCACTGCGGACTACGATGTACGGCTCAAAATTCATACGCCAATTTACCTGAAAATTGATAATTGGTGAACTACTGAATGAAAGCAGAAAAAACCTTATACGGCAATTTGGCGTTTCTCCAGCGGTGAAAATCAGTTTCCTTATGTCCAGCAGGAAATACCCGTTGCCTTTAAATAAATTAAGAATTAATTGGTTAGTATTCGATTCATTTACTGCTCCCACAATTTATAAGGCACTTATATTGTTCATAAGGATATCGGTAAGCAAGTAAAACTTTCAAAAACAGTGACAAACTATGATTCAAAGATAATTCTGATTCTGTAAGATTTTCCTCAAATGCTAAATTTTCAGTTACAATGATCGCAGAAAAATTTTACGACAGTGGCAAAAACGCAAAAAAAAAGTGAAAATTCTGTTAAAAGTTAAAAAATTTGAGTGCTAACTTGAAAATGAAAACCTCTTCGTTATCAAGCATCTTCAGAAGTTCCGACTTCGTCTTCGGGTAGTCCAAATCATATTTGAATGTTTCAAAAACAGGAACAATCAAAGCTCTATTATTTAAATTGCCTAAAGTCTGCCAAATAAAATCAAGAAATTAAAATGGAATGTTGCTAACCTTCATTTCTTATCGCTTTGATCAACATTTCATACAAGTTTTCGACGGGTATAAAATCCACGTCCGTAAGAAACACATATGCAGTGACAACTTGATCCAATGCAACGTTCCTAAGCTTATTTACGGGGTAAAGCGCCTAAAAAGTTGATTTCGGAATTAATATAGACAAATGACTAAAAGGAATATTAACAAGATTAGAAGTTTACACTTGACTTAAAACTGAAGTTGTACAGTCAATTAGAGACAAGATGTTAAAAATCTTAAGTTGAGAGAATGTTGTAAGTTTGGCGCTTGTTGTGGTTTCTTTGGAAACAGTGAAATAAATAAAACGTGACTGGAAGTCGAAATGTTTGTTAATATCATCCGGAGCATGAACGAATCTTTGTGTTCGTTTTGTGAATGCATAACAGGTTGTACAGATGGGCATGATATTTTACAGTTTAAAATTCAGGCATTGCTCTCACCAACGAAATGATCCGGAATGCAACTTTCACCGTAGATGCACAAATACCATGCAACCATGTACGTTGGAGAAAGGATACTGCTCAATGCACTGTGAAAGCAGGGGGATATATTCACCTCTGAGCATATTCCGGCGTGTGATTTCAGATCCTAAACGTATCTCGCATAGATTATGAACCGTCCAGAAAAGCCCATCTTAACCAACGGTAGAGCACTGATAACGGTTCAAATGCGTGACATCATGTCAGGAGAAGGTATAACCAGAAGTGTGTCATCATTCAACAGCCATTATAAAATAACATAAGTCATTCTACTTTTATAAGCACAATGATGCCTAATCTATGGTATCTATAGTTAGAACGATTTTACCTTACGTAGGCACAATAGCTAATGCGGTTCAGAATTTCGTATAAAGTTTAAAATGGAGCACATTTTACAACATGTGACGACGCCCATAACCTATAAACTGTAACATTCAATGGCTCATTGTTAAATACATACCCCTTCACGATAAACGATATGGAACGCCACATCATCCCTGTTCAGCCAGCGGTTACGTTTCAGAAACTGTATGAAACGATATGCTTCTGTATCTGAGACGTAGAGAGAAACGGACGCTGGACCTCGCCACCTTGAAAGAAATTTCTCCAGCAATGGTAACCTTTCAATGGTAAGATGAGTCACCAATGAAACATCAACATTATCCTTAAAGCCACTTACTAATTGCAAATAAAAACATCGCAGAATTTTACCGGTTCGTAATTGAATTTTGTATAGAACAAGTGAGTCCGGTAATTGACAAAATTTGGCCTATACCATTTCGCACATGCTGATTCACCTTTCTTGAACATTACCGGCGCACCCTCAATATAAAGCAGCGATTAGAACAGAAATCAAATCAAACAAAAGCAGTTACACAGTTACAGGGCCAATCTGCAACTGATATGGACTGGACAAAAAGACTTTTACAAGATCCAAATATTTAAAATAAGTATAATCTCACAGTACAAATGAGAACTCACCGAAACTGCATATGAATTAGTCGCCAAATCGGTGCATTCCATAAAGTTATGACGCAAGTAACTGCCGCTCATCTCGTCAAAATACTGATAGCGTACCAACAAAGAATGAGCGAAATCCGTAGCTTCTCTGTATTTCTTTCGAGAATTAAAGTGCAACACCTAAAAGCAAAGATTCGAACAGCTCTCACGAATACTGTACACGTCTGATAAAGACTACCTTGATATCTGACACCAAAGTAGAGCAAGGAATTGTTTCATGCACATGGACAAGCTGGAAGTTATAGACGCATGGTAACTGGAAAACGAATTCCGGGTATTGCTTGATAATAGCATTAACGACGTCCTAAAAATTTAACCATTATATTTTTGAAGTTTTCTAGAAAAATCACAAAATTGAAATAGCATGAAAATTTGCATTAGTACAGGGATAATGCAGTCGCAAAGATTACTCGACCCGTTATGTAAATGAAAACTTATCATTCAAAGCAATCTTAACTTCCAACATTTCTTGAAAATCAGATCAATGCTCTTTAATATGGTCAGAAAATGAAATTTAATCATGACAAAGGAAATACCACATCTAACCAACACTGCTGTAACGCACTTCCACCTTGAATATAAATACCTAACGGAAAGGCGTATCAAAGCATTTTAGCTTTTGCAGTCTATCTAACTGCACTTCTGAATAGAAATACGTAAATTTTTATTTCTGATAGGAGCCAAACATATGCTATCATATTTTATTTCCCAATGATTCTAAATTATCTACTTCGGAACTGATTGGCTACTATTCTCTGGAATTTTTTTATATCAGTGGTAGCAGGAGAGAGATAAACGATCAGCAACTAGATAATAATGATCATCGGCTCTTTTAGATTCACTTCTGTATGAAGACCATTCCTAGACTGTGCCGTAAGCTTGACAATGACACATCGTAAAACAACATTCCAAAATATTGTTTGCATTACAACCCATGCATTTAAGTTTTACCCTAAGTTATTATTCGAAACATATGCCTTTCCATGTTATATTGCGTAGTTTGCAGTCAAGAATGATTTCGAGGTATACTGCCCACGTTTCGCATCAACAGGTTAGCAGTGGGAGTACAAACTGATCGAAAACCTTCCGCTTTAAACACAGTAGAGTTTCTTACATAACAACATTTTCAATCATCGAAAAGTGCTCCATGTCGTTTTTACCCTTCTGCTGATTTTGCAAAAAATGGGTTATTGATGTTAATTTGCATATCTTCAAGCATAAATCCATTAATTTGAGAAGGTCGCTGGAGCACGAATTTGTTAAACGTGATAAGAGTAGATTCATTTTCAGTCTTAGTTTGAGGCTCGGGTGGTGCAGCATTTGATTCTTTGTTGGAGTCCTTCGACGACCTAGAGTGGATCAGAACATTGCCCGCAAACCGCAGCTGGGAAAACTGGAGCCCGTTTATGTCCAGCACTTGATTTTTCTAACTTCTGTCGTGAATCATTACAGTGATATTGCGTCTCCGTGCAGGGTGCCATTTCTGATCTAAACAGTACTTGTGTATTCGTGAAGCTGCTCACTAAAGCAGTTGTATAATCGTAAATTCAAGAACGGCAGCAAAATGCATACCATCGTATTTTTGGATATTATATCTATCATAGAATTTGCCAATAAAAGCAAATTTACGGATATCCAATGTTAACGGATCCCAGAGGTGCATAAAATAGATGTCTATACTTCTTTACAGTAGAAGGGTGAAATCTGAAAAGTAAATTCAACAACACAATCGATAAAACAATTATCATGCACGTACGAACGGAAAATTCTAATAATCCGACCTGATCTCCCAGTTGAGTGGCATTGATAATTTTCAACTGCTCTTTGGTAATTTGAGTATACAATGAAGTCCATGATAGCACACGCAAAGTTTCTAAGTCCATCAAAACGACACCGGTGTTAAACCCAGTACCCTTAACAGAAACATATTATTGCTGACTCAAAAATGAAAAGAATATTATGTGCCTGTTGGAAAATATAAAAAATGCCGTTAAATAAATACCCTTGCAAAGTTACCTTAGCGGGCCACCTGGACAATTTACCGGAAATTTGCTTGCGCAGATACCAGTTAGATAAATTTTCGGCGATTCCCAAACACTGTTCAGAGTTAAAGAGCTCAAACATATCCCACAGGGATCCAATATCAGACAAAAAGATCAGGTCTGTGTCGAGCAAAATAACCTATAAAACAAATATTCCGTAAAGTGAAAAAAATACTTGCTTGGAAACAAAACCTTACTTTTTTAAGATTTTGAGGCAAAATTGAAGGCACCGTGAGCTTCAGTAATCCGCTTAATGAGGAATGATGAAAGGTCGGAATCCACGCTACGTCCATTGAAAAGTTCGTTGATAAATAGATTGAGAAATCTACTAAAGATCAATAATTTGAATCTTGAATACTTTAGGCGAACACATGGAACTCCTCATTTTTCACTCCTATTCCACTTGTGTAAGTTCTCTTGTTTTAATCAGATTAATAATGCCACTGCCTTTTCGGTTTCTAAATTTTTACAAGTAAAGGTCAGAAACGTAAAGTTAGAAACCATTACGGAAGTAAACCCGGTTAACTGACAAGTACGCGTTTTTTCAGAAACGTCTGTCAGTTAACCCAATTTCACTTGGATAATATTTACTCTGAGTATAGAACTTCCGATGACTTCAACGACTATCCACTGATTAAACAGCTTAATCTAGGTACTGACCAACATCATTCTGAAGTTGGAACCAATCACGGAAACAAACAAGTCGGTATGAAGCTGGTTCAATATCAAGTGTCATACGCTTTGCTTTCATCGACTCTAAGGTGTTCGATTCGACCGAATAGAAGGCAGTGTTAAACACTGAACACTAAAATATGCAATAAATCTTGTTTATGTCAGCCAAATCGATGAACTGACTATCAGTGAAACCAAGCCCAGAAAAACGTGGTATCAGTATCTATCGAGAACTGTGCCAACGAAGTACCATATCATCAACGCGGTAACTTCCTTCCAAGGGTTGAGAAAGAACTTTTCTATTCAATCATTATCTGGCATTGACCTTATGTAAATTTTCGGCGCATTTGATCGTTTCAGAGATTTCTTTGAATAACGAGTTTCTTCTTACCTAATATATTACTCTTTACATATAGCGGCTAATCTTCAGAATGTTGAAGAAAGGGTGCACATCGCAAGCAGTCATCCAGCGATGGAGTTTTACAGAAAAATGTATTTTCGAACAGAGTTAATCTCATGCTATTTATTATATGTTATTCAGTGAAGTACTTACGACTTGTGACGTTCCACGTGTCTAATAGATGCGACAAGACATTTTGACTTCGAACTGTGTCGGTAACAAGATGCAGGTGTAGGGGACGTCGACGATGCAACAGAATACTTTTCAACATTACGACTAGCGAACGAACCGCAGATGAACCACAGCATATTACTGCGACATGAACCACCTAAACATTCTGCAGACAGAAACGATGTCGAGATAAAATAAGGCAAATTGCAAACAAAACTGCCCATACACATAAAAAACTGAAAAACTCAGAATTCAAGATTCCCGTAAACAACAATTAGAATAGATTTGGAAAACAAGAACAGAAATGAGCAATACCTCACAGTTCACCTCTGTCTTCTTCCTTTTCATCGACTCAGACGTCCACTGATTCTCTGCCCATTCACTGAACGAAAAGCGATTCTCCATTGTGTGAGATCGTTTGTTCATATGAAACCCTAAACAAATATTTAAAAAAACCTTTCTGACCTATTATCCATGGATAAAAGAACTCTATTTCATACAGTAATTAACAAAATTATAATAATTAGGAATATTACTCAGTACTTATACACTGCAACACTTCAGAATTACTATGAAAATAATTCTACAAATTAAATAAACTTAAATTAGTGATAAAGGAAGAAAAGAAGTTTGTAACCCCTGGAATAACGATCCTCTTCACACGATCATAACTGAGCCATTTCTGTCGCCCTTCTATTCATGAAGTTAAGAGTTGTGAGCTGATCGCTACTGCCATACCATCAGCAACGAGCATATTTTAAAGAAGAAGTTGCAGCTATATGAAAAGTACAGTGTAGGCTGTTTTCCTTTGCACATAGTAGTACTCTTTCATAAACCTCAGAAAAAAGAAAGGCGATAGCCCGAAGCTCAAACCCGTGAACTCCTAGGTCTAAGTTCGCCACACAACCGACAGAATAACGTCGGAATATGATGTGATAAAATTATTGACATCCTGCTATGGGAGGACACTTGCTGAAGCATTTGACTGCACAGGCAGAAAAGAGCATGATTCCATTCCATTTCAAGCACAGTTTTTCTGTCTTAATGATCGAAAATGACGCAATAGCCTAGGAAACGATAAAACTGGTTGATACTCAGTGAAATGCATACGCAACTCAATGTACATTCATGTGAGGATAGAATACACGAAGCAGACTGAAACACTGAATGCACTGGACTGCCACATTCATGTTAATTTTTTTTCAGTATTTAAGTAAAGAAATTCCGTGGTATTAACCATGATGCCGTTAAATTTCTGAAAAGAACATGACAGATGGTTGCCTTTCGGTGCCGATCTCCATTTACTACAAAACTTTATAATTGAGGGGTAGAGACAGGTGCTTAACATAATTATAACGATGTACTCGAAAGCGTAGCAAACCCTGATTTCGCTCACTACAGTTTGCTTCGCTACTTCTCAACGTTTAGTACCACCCTAACCATTGCGTTTTAAACTACGCAGAGCAGTTTGTAACAATTTATGAACATTAAATGAATTAAATGAACGAAACAATGAAATGAACGAACCTCAGCAGCTCTTGGCTGAATGATACCGCGCCTTTTTATCCGAAATATTTATGTTCCGGAAGTATTCCGTTTTGCTAACATATTTGTTTTTATAATGCTATTAATTATAATGAAGAACAAATTAACAAACAATTTACTCATGACCCAGTAAACCGGTAAAAGTGACCACAGCGTGAGACCACAAAGAAGAGCAAACACATGTCTCCGGCGGTAACACATTGGTGGCGCACTAGCTGCTACTATATCGGTTGCCTGTAATTTCTGCCGATTATACGATTCTCTTTTTTTAGGCCAAGGTATTCCTACAAGAAAATAGGAGAAAATACCAATATTTATGACAGAATAAGGAAATAAAAAATGAATATTCAGGGGTAGCTACTTGAGATGGTAGTTTTGCAATTCATCCGGGATATATTTATTTTAATTACTGACAGCGATTTGCAGGGCAAAAATACAAGGCTCCCGTTCTTCTAATCGGTTAAAGGAACCATTTAAGTAGGTCGCGGATCATTTGTGTCTAAGTGCTTGCGATGCATTACATATAAAACCACATCCCTAAGTTGGGCTGAACAAAGGCATGTTCGAGAAACAAAATCTGTCACCATTCGTAGGCAAATATATAGATTAAATAAGTAATAATATAACCTCTATGCTGAGGGGTAGTTGCGACAAAGGTCTCACTACGATAGTGGAAAAATCAGTTGGCGCTCGAATGTGGTTGTTTATCCAAATTAAGAGACGCTGTCATGCATGTGATGCACTCAGGTGCCGAATTACCATGGAACCACAGCCTGCTTAAATGATCCTCTTAGACGACTAGAAAGAACAGGGAGGAGCGCGAACGCCAAATATTCTGTTTGAGCATACCTTGTTTCAATTAAATTTCCCTGTCAGCTGTAGTTAAGCAGTGCTACTGAGGTAGTTACTTCACCGCAATACTAGCATGGCACAAAACGATGCAGATAGATGTTTCACAGCTAAAAAAGTAAGTAGTGCATTCAGAAAGTAATTTAATACTTATTGGTCTCTTACCAGTTATTCCGCTGTTGATAGAAACAAACCGACCTGACGCCGATCAAAACCTAGCATAAAGTCTGCTGCTCAAACAAACACACTGAGAAACAGACCTGCCAGACTGTCGCTGTGTACGCAGCAGTCGATTTGTCAAGAATCACCACTCTCAGCTTGTTATTCATATGAGCTGACTAATCGACATGGGAAGCAGTAAACATCCTCTCGAATTAAGCGTCCGCTAAACTCTGTAGTTCTCTCCAAAGTACGCATGAGAAAGGAGGGTTACGGACCGTGCTGGAGCCTGACGCAAAGCTTTGTCCCTTACCTATCATGATATGGCTGTTACGGAAGGTTATATCCGCTCAGACGAGGGCAGGATGTTTGAGAGCCGAGTCAATGATCAGAACTTGCTTAATGTAATCTGGCTAATGAGCGCGCATCACTGTAATGGCTGCCGGAGATCGACAAGACGAAGATATATCAGCAGCAGCGGAGCTAATACTCGTTCTGATTAGGAGGCAGACAGCGCAACGAGATCATAGCACGTCACACGGAGTTCGACGGGAATGATATCGAGTGAGCTCAGTCGGAAATTGAAACATCTGCTCACTGCGAGGGAACGAGCAGGAGCGAGCAGATTAGGCCGTAAAGTAACGGCTGTATGTATTTCAACTTTTGTCAAGCAAGATCAGGGCCATACAAGTCTGGTACTGTTCGGGGAGAAGGCACTCATCTGAAGTTCGATATCACGATAAGCTTACCGGTAGAAATTAACCTGCCTATCAGTCAATGAATGAAAGCCTATAAGGCGGTAGAGTGACAATCTTCTAACTTACGTTGCAACAGGTTGAAGCACTGGTTTTATAACAGCTCTATATGCCTTTTACAGACCGCCAAATAAAGGGCGTTATAACTGAAACGGTGGAATTGTTCATTTTGATTTCAATGTACATGTCGAAGCAGACACCGTAAAGTGGATAGACATGATTTGGATAACAGCTCTAACGAATATAACGAAGTTGGGTGAGGCAGCAACAGTGGTGGTGAAGTAGAATATGATACGAAAATTTAACTGATTCTCAATATACCCTGACCGACGAGTGGATATGCGTAAAATGGCTGAAAACTGCTACACGTACTAAAGAATCAGGCAGCAATGAT